CAAACTTGTTTGGATTTTTATCTATGTTGTTGTTTCTGCTATATATCAATGACATTCATGCGTGTTTTCTTTACTCCAAGTTTCTGCTATACGCTGACGATAGCAAAATATTTACCACGATTTGTTCACCTGACGACTGCGAAAAATTGCAGGAGGACTTGGTCCGATTACAGGCTTATTGTGTAAACAACAATCTTTTCATCAATCACGATAAATGCACGAAAATTACATTTACACGCAAACGCTATCCCATTGTTTTCGATTATTCCCTCGGCCCTAATACTCTTATACCATCTGATTGTGTTCGAGATCTTGGGGTTCTCTTTGATTCTAAACTTGCGTTTTCAGCTCATATCGATTTTATTGTTAATAAGGCCTCTCGCATGTTCGGATTTATTTGTCGTGTCTCCCGTCCTTTTACTAACTTATCCTGTATTCGTTCTCTTTACTTCGCCTTCGTTTCTTCTATCCTTAACTATGCATCTTCTGTTTGGAACCCTCAATACCATATATACATTGATCGACTAGAACAAGTTCAAAAACGTTTTCTTCGGTACCTATCGCGAAAATTCTACTTACCATACTGTGATTACGCACAGCGATGCTTAATATTTGGAGTCCCTCAACTCTCTTCCAGGCGCATTAGTAACGATTTAATGCTGCTTTATAAAGTGAGTAACGGCACTGTTGACTGCTCCGCGATTCTATCTCAGTTACAGTTTAGGATTCCTGTTCGACCATCCCGTGATTTATCGGTATTCTACGTGCCTTGTACCAATACAAATGCGTTTTCTAACTCCGTGGTCCCTCGTCTCATGTTTTCTTTTAATAATTTTTGTTCTGATTTAGACTTGTTTGCTACTCCCCGGTCTACATTTAGGAAATTGGTTAATGACCTCCCATATGCATCTCGTGCGCCGTTTGACTTGCGACGTTAATTCTGTTTTTGATTGATTTTTTTTTCAATATTTTTGATTATTAGTTTTGCTTAATTTTCACTTTTTTGTTAAATTTTATTTCTGTTGCTGTTTTTTGTTAACCTGTTTGATATTTTTTTTTGTTACTTATTGCTAAATTCTTGTTTTTAGTTTATAATATTGTATATTTTTAGTGGATGCTTCGCTGGGCTTGTCCCGTTTGCATCCCAAATAAAATAAAATTATGATGTTCAAAATTTTGATTATTATAGGCGGGTCTGGACAGTAAATACTACCTAGTTGTTCCTTTTCGGGTAGGCTAATAAAATATTAAATAATGGCTTATAAAATATTCTCCTCATTGAATATGGAGAAAATTTTTGACCAACCTGTATAAGATACTCTGATACAACAAATGATAATCTATTTGTCAGTATCTGAAGAGTAATTGTGCCAATTTAGAGCTTTTATGAATTAATATTGACTGAGATATGGGGTTTTAAAATCAAAATAACTTGAAAACGCATACCATTTCAATGATTCGTCTTGATCTTGTGTTTTTTATTACTTTCGGTTTTCCTCTTACTAGAAAAAAATCAGCAGTACTTTTCTCTGCTTCATCGGCGCTTTGCTCTGAGTGGCTATCATATTCATTTTGAACAACTTTTTCTTCTACGTCAGATATATCGCTGCCGTCGATACTTTACTTCATCTCTCAAATTAAAAAAATAAAGAGAGCATTCAGTACTTTGTATACAAGCGCACCTGCCCAAAGGTTAAGTGTGGATCAACATTTTGTAATATCTCCAACAATAGTCTAGATATCTGTTGTGACAACTAAAATCAAACACTTAATAATATAAATGATGTCATCATTATAATTTTTTTTAGCTGATATAACACAATGTTGCTTCACATTTAATATTCTGATATCATTAAAAATTTGTAAAACTTGGGATTCAGCACATTTTTTTAAGCAAGCTTTTTAAAATAGAAGAGATAGAATATTAAGAGACTAATCCCATCCTGCAAACACCAAACCTCTATCTTCTTTTCTTTTTAAGTTATAGCCAAAAAGTCAAATTTTCGTGATTTCAAAAAATTTCGTTTATTTTTCAAATTAGAGAAATGTGGTTGATACATTCTTAAGACACTTTTTTAAGTAGAATATATTGCCATTATAAAATTTTAAACATACTTGATCATTTTTGAGATACAACACAAAGTTATATTTTTTTAAATGCAAATTATATTTGATTATGATGTTCAAAATTTTGATTATTACAGGCGGGTCTGGGCAGTAAATACTACCTAGTTGTTCCTTTTCGTGTAGGCTAATAAAATATTAAATAATGGCTTATAAAATATTCTTCTCATTGAATATGGAGAAAATTTTTGACCAACCTGTATAAGATACTTTGATACAACAAATGATAATCTATTTGTCAGTATCTGAAGAGTAATTGTGCCAATTTAGAGCTTTTATGAATTAATGTTGACTGAGATATGGGGTTTTAAAATCAAAATAACTCGAAAACGCATACCATTTCAATGATTCGTCTTGATCTTGTGTTTTTTATTACATTCGGTTTTCCTCTTACTAGAAAAAAATCAGCAGTAGTTTTCTCTGCTTCATCGGCGCTTTGCTCTGAGTGGCTATCATATTCATTTTGAACAACTTTTTCTTCTACGTCGGATATATCGCTGCCGTCGATACTTTACTTCATCTCTCAAATTAAAAAAATAAAGAGATCATTCAGTACTTTGTACACAAGCGCACCTGCCCAAAGGTTAAGTGTGGATCAACATTTTGTAATATCTCCAACAATAGTCTAGATATCTGTTGTGACAACTAAAATCAAACACTTAACAATATAAATGATGTCATCATTATAATTTTTTTTAGCTGATATAAGTNTGTAGATAATTTTATTCTTAACAATATTGCACTCTTGCAGTTTTGCTGTCAGATGCGTCAATATCGAGAAAAATACGAAAATATGAAAATTTGGTGAATTTATTACTTTTTTAAGCTGTTATGGTAACACTATGGAAACGGAGCATACTACTAAAAATCCTTTTAAGCAAAAGTTGTAGATAATTTCATTCTTAACAATATTGCACTCTTGCACTTTTGCTCTCAGATGCCTCAATATCGAGAAAAATACAAAAATATGAAAATTTGACGAATTCGTTGCTTTTTTAAGCTGTTATAGTAACACTAGGGAAACGGAGCATACTACTAGAAAACTTTTTGAGCAAAAGTTGTAGATAATTTTATTCTTAACAATATTGTTCTCTTTCACTTTTGCTCTCAGATGCGTCAATATCGAGAAAATTTGCTTAATTCGTAATTTTACAAGTTGTTAATTAATCAAGTCTACCCTATTTGAAATTTATGGAAGGAATAAACTCGGCCGACTTCGAAGACGTCGGCCACCCTAAGTATGGTATATGTTATTTGGAGCGGCCGACGTCTTCGAAGTCGGCCGAGATTACTTCTAATATCATGAAGAATATTTAGGAATCGGAGCATGTTATAAAAAAGTTTTTAGAACATAAGTTGTAGCAAATTTCATTCTTAACAATATTATTCTCTTTCACTTTTGCTCTCAGATGCGTCAATATCGAGAAAATTTGCTGAATTCGTAATTTTACAAGTTGTTAATTAATCAAGTTTACCCTGCTTGAAGTTTATGGAAGAAATAAACTCGGCCGACTTCGAAGACGTCGGCCGCCCTAAGTATTGTACATGATACTTGGAGCGAGATTACTTCTAATATTATGAAGAATACTGAGAAATTGGAGCATGTTATAAAAAAGCGTTTAGAACAAAAGTTGTAGCAAATTTCATTCTTAACAATATTGCTCTCTTTCACTTTTGCTCTCAGATGCGTCAATATCGAGAGAAATACGAATATATGAAAGTTTGCTGAATTTCGAAGACGAGAATATCATCTCCTTGTCTTAATCTGTTCATGTTGAAAGGTTTCGTTGTCTTTGGGCTATCTCTATCAGAGATGAATAATAATCAAGATATCTGCTGTGACAGCTAAAATCAAACACACTGTATATAATGTTTAGCTGCGTATATTATTCGCCTATTAAATTATGTAAAATAAGGCATATTTTTTTTAGATAAGTCAAGGTTTTGAAATGATAAGTGAATTAATCTTTTTTGTGGAGTATAATTTGATTATTATTTTTTTATAATAAATAATTTTCTTGTGTACTTTAACCTTTAATTAAAAGATGGCGCAATTTAAAGTTTATTTTTTTTAAATTATGATTAATTTCCAAGAAATTTACGTGGATACAAAACTTTTTGACTGATTTCACATGAAATCGAGATATTACCTAATAATTATCAAGGTGTCTTACAATCGATTAAGAAATGTATTTGAAATGAAATTGCCTACTACGCAATTTAACGTAACGCACCCGTAGTCCGATTAAGAGCTTTTGGTAATATTCCATGAGTATTTAAGCAGCGAAAATTAATAAAATAGGATTTTAGAGCTTTCTAGAACCGGCTGCATGATTTACGTTAATTAGATACGCAATTTTGAATGATGTGGGGGAATTGAAAAATTCAAAAAGTGAGTAGTCATTGAAAACATGGCGGACGATCAAGATGGTGCGACATGCGAAACTAACGAAAATAAACCGAAATTAATCTCTTTAACGGTCAAAACCCCGAAGGAAAAGGAGGTTATTGAGGTATCCGAAGATGTAACCGTCGCCGAGGTGGGTATTTCAACTCCTTAATTATATTTTACTCAAAAACCCACAACACATAACCTTAACGCTAACCTCCCGTATTTCTTACAGTTCAAAGAGTCAGTTTCGAAAAAGTTTAATGCTGATGTTGAACAATTATGCTTGATTTTTGCTGGCAGAATTCTTAAAGACGCTGAAACTTTGGTTTCGCAAAATATAAAAGATGGCCTTACCATACATTTGGTTATTAAATCGAATCCAAGAAGAACGGAACCTGCACCTGATAGACCACCAGGTATTAAAATAAATATGTATAGTGTGTATTTCATTTTAGCTGATATAACACAATGTTGCTTCACATTTAATATTCTGATATCATTAAAAATTTGTAAAACTTGGGATTTAGCACATTTTTTTAAGCAAGCTTTTTAAAATAGAAGAGATAGAATATTAAGAGACTAATCCAATCCTGCAAACAACAAATCTCTATCTTCTTTTCTTTTTAAGTTATAGCCAAAAAGGCAAATTTTTGTGATTTCAAAAAATGCTCATATTTAGTTTATTTTTCAAGTTAGAGAAATGTGGTTGATACATTCTTAAGACACTTTTTTAAATAGAATATACTGCCATTGAAACATTTTAAATACACTTAATCATTTTTGAGATACAACACAAAGTTGTATTTTTTTAAATACAAATTATATTTGATTATTAATCACGGCTTTTTTCGTGGCAGGTCAGTGGAGTCTAACCTAATCACATTTTCTAATTTTTTACTGAATGCTCTAGACAAAAATTACCAGGTGGATGCTGTATATACAGACTACAGTAAGGCCTTTGACAGAATAGATCACGGAATTCTTTTTAAGAAACTCTTTAATTATGACATCCCTGTTGGTTTGATTTATTGGTTATCTTCTTACATCTCTAGCAGATCACAAGCTGTTACCATTAATGGCTATCGCTCTTCCTTCAAAGAGATAACTTCCGGTGTGGCGCAAGGCAGTCATTTGGGACCGTTGTTGTTTCTGCTATATATCAATGACATTCATGCGTGTTTTCATTACTCCAAGTTTCTGCTATACGCTGACGATAGCAAAATATTTACCACGATTTGTTCACCTGACGACTGCGAAAAATTGCAGGAGGACTTGGTCCGATTACAGGCTTATTGTGTAAACAACAATCTTTTCATCAATCACGATAAATGCACGAAAATTACATTTACACGCAAACGCTATCCCATTGTTTTCGATTATTCCCTCGGCCCTAATACTCTTATACCATCTGATTGTGTTCGAGATCTTGGGGTTCTCTTTGATTCTAAACTTGCGTTTTCAGCTCATATCGATTTTATTGTTAATAAGGCCTCTCGCATGTTCGGATTTATTTGTCGTGTCTCCCGTCCTTTTACTAACTTATCCTGTATTCGTTCTCTTTACTTCGCCTTCGTTTCTTCTATCCTTAACTATGCATCTTCTGTTTGGAACCCTCAATACCATATATACATTGATCGACTAGAACAAGTTCAAAAACGTTTTCTTCGGTACCTATCGCGAAAATTCTACTTACCATACTGTGATTACGCACAGCGATGCTTAATATTTGGAGTCCCTCAACTCTCTTCCAGGCGCATTAGTAACGATTTAATGCTGCTTTATAAAGTGAGTAACGGCACTGTTGACTGCTCCGCGATTCTATCTCAGTTACAGTTTAGGATTCCTGTTCGACCATCCCGTGATTTATCGGTATTCTACGTGCCTTGTACCAATACAAATGCGTTTTCTAACTCCGTGGTCCCTCGTCTCATGTTTTCTTTTAATAATTTTTGTTCTGATTTAGACTTGTTTGCTACTCCCCGGTCTACATTTAGGAAATTGGTTAATGACCTCCCATATGCATCTCGTGCGCCGTTTGACTTGCGACGTTAATTCTGTTTTTGATTGATTTTTTTTTCAATATTTTTGATTATTAGTTTTGCTTAATTTTCACTTTTTTGTTAAATTTTATTTCTGTTGCTGTTTTTTGTTAACCTGTTTGATATTTTTTTTTGTTACTTATTGCTAAATTCTTGTTTTTAGTTTATAATATTGTATATTTTTAGTGGATGCTTCGCTGGGCTTGTCCCGTTTGCATCCCAAATAAAATAAAATTATGATGTTCAAAATTTTGATTATTATAGGCGGGTCTGGACAGTAAATACTACCTAGTTGTTCCTTTTCGGGTAGGCTAATAAAATATTAAATAATGGCTTATAAAATATTCTCCTCATTGAATATGGAGAAAATTTTTGACCAACCTGTATAAGATACTCTGATACAACAAATGATAATCTATTTGTCAGTATCTGAAGAGTAATTGTGCCAATTTAGAGCTTTTATGAATTAATATTGACTGAGATATGGGGTTTTAAAATCAAAATAACTTGAAAACGCATACCATTTCAATGATTCGTCTTGATCTTGTGTTTTTTATTACTTTCGGTTTTCCTCTTACTAGAAAAAAATCAGCAGTACTTTTCTCTGCTTCATCGGCGCTTTGCTCTGAGTGGCTATCATATTCATTTTGAACAACTTTTTCTTCTACGTCAGATATATCGCTGCCGTCGATACTTTACTTCATCTCTCAAATTAAAAAAATAAAGAGAGCATTCAGTACTTTGTATACAAGCGCACCTGCCCAAAGGTTAAGTGTGGATCAACATTTTGTAATATCTCCAACAATAGTCTAGATATCTGTTGTGACAACTAAAATCAAACACTTAATAATATAAATGATGTCATCATTATAATTTTTTTTAGCTGATATAAGTCAAACCCCATTTAGTTTGGGAAGTATGGGTGGTTTATCAGGTTTAGATGCATTAGGATTAGGTTCAACAAACTTTATGGATTTACAAAGTCGTCTTCAATCAGAACTGATGGGAAATCCTGATTTATTAAGACAAGTATTGGATAATCCGCTTGTTCAACGCTTGTTAACCGACCCGGAAAATATGCGCGCTTTGATAATGAGTAATCCTCAAATGCAAGAATTAATAGACAGAAACCCGGATATTAATCATATGTTAAATAACCCGGAGTTATTGCGTCAAACGATGGAGTTGGCGAGAAACCCATCGATGCTTCATGAATTAATGCGTACTCATGATAGGGCGTTGAGTAATTTAGAGAGTATACCGGGTGGATACAACGCGCTACAGCGGATGTATCGGGATATTCAAGAGCCGATGTTGAGTGCAGCTTCGGAACAATTTTCTCGAAATCCATTTTCTGGGTTGGTGGATAACAGTTCGACGAGTAATCCACAACAAGGGACGGAGAATCGAGAACCTCTCCCAAATCCTTGGTCAGCAAATCGACCGGAACCCACTGGAGGAGCTCCATCCCAACCTCAACCACAACGATCACCACCAAATTTAATGAATCCGCCGATGGCTAGCTTATTACAACAAATGACCGAAAATCCGCAGCTTGTACAAAGTATGCTCAACGCGCCGTACATGCAAAATATGTTACAATCGCTTGCTGCTAATCCATCGGTCGCTAACAACATTCTTGCGCAAAATCCTTTGTTTCAAGATAATCCCGCTATGCAGGAACAAATGAGAACAATGATGCCACAATTTTTACAACAATTACAAAATCCTGAGGTTCAAAGTCTCATTACAAACCCACAGGTAACCTTAAAATGAAATATTACAAATAATAAACGATAAAAATGAAATTTTATTTTAGGCCTTAAACGCAATAATGCAAATTCAGCAAGGTATGGAAACGTTACGCACCGCTGCTCCAGGATTGGTGAATACACTCTCACCAGGCATAGCAGCATCACCTTATGGAGGAATAACACCACCTAATTCTACGGCACAATCGCCTACATCGACCGCTACGACGTTGCCTTCAACTCCAACTACAACAACCACCACCACAGCTGGAGGTGGTGGAGGAGGAGGAGGAGGGGGTGCTACTAACGACAGTTTTACGGATGTAAGTGTAAAAATAAATTATTTTTTGTCGTGATTATTTATGTTTTTGTGTAGTTTATGGCGAGGATGTTAGCTGGGATGTCAGTGCAAGGTGATAATAATTTACCACCTGAGCAGCGTTATAGAACACAACTGGAACAGTTAACAGCGATGGGTTTTGTGAATAGAGAAGCTAACTTGCAGGCGTTAATCGCGACGTTTGGCGATATTAACGCGGCAGTGGAGAGATTATTGGCGTTGGGGCAAATGTCCACGACTTAACCGAGTTTATAAAATGCCACCACAGAGACGACACCTTCTTCTTATTTCTCAATTGCATATTATTATTCTCCCCATTAATAATTACTGTATATTTTACTGCTGGTCGTCGCTGATTGTATATTGAAATAATTCTGTTCTTTTTACAAAAAAAAACGATAAAGAAAAAGAAATTTTTGTAAAACCCAAATCCCTCATTTTCAACGTTGGATAACGATTGAAATAAAAAAGAGGTTGGTTGATGTATTTAGATATATTTCTATATAGAGTAACCCTCCGAGGACAACTCCTTATAATTTTTTTTATTGTTTTACCTTTTTATTGTAATTTTATTCAGTTTTATGTGGGTAGCGGAAGTTGATCCTGTTTAATTTTTATCAAGAAAAAGTGGTTTTATGAATACTAAAAAAAGAAAAAAAAATGTTAAGTCAGCAAGTGAACTTAGGCTCTAGTTATCTTTTTGTTGTATTAATAATAAAAAATATGTTCATTTAATCGAAAAAAAAATAAATAATAAAACTTATTTTAAAGGAATGTTGATTACAAAAAAGTTATGCTAAATTTAAGTTTGTTTTAAATAGAAATTGGCACGATTAAAATTAATCTACCATTTTCTGTTGGATGATTATAAAAAAATGTTTGTTTTCGTCACCGCGTTACGCTTTTACTTACTGAAACGATTTGTCATGTTCTAGTTATATTATTACAACTTTATTGTAGCATTCCATATTGTAAAATTGACTAGAAATAAAACCTAAAACGCACCAAAATTTTATTTTCACTCATTCACCCAAATAAAATAATACAACTAAAAATCAAACATTTATTTAATTTTTTTAATAAAACATTAATATACATCATAAAAAATCAACACTATCATCTCAAACAAATTCCCTAAAATCAACAACTAATTGAAAGAAAACATAATACAAAAATACTCCTTAATTTCTTTAATATATTCGTTGATAAGTAATAATATCACCCGGGTTAAAAAAATAAATTTTTACTATGCTTCGTCGACAGGAAGACGAAGTTGGGAAGACGGAATTTGTCATGACGAACTCGTCGAGTTATTAGCCTCGGCGTTTATGCTGTTATAATTAGGAACATTTTGCGCAATGCTTTCTACAAAGAAAACGTCACCGTCACCCCTTTCCCCTTTATATTCGCCGCAAATACCCACCTCTCATCCGTTTCAACGATAACACGCCCAATATTCCCAACAAAGCCGAACCACCACAAACATACGAGACTATATCACGGTAATATTGAGAAGACGATGCGTCCGTATGACTTAAAAATAATTAAATAAAAAATTGGTGATGAATACTTAATACATTAATAAATACTTACAAGTCTTGAATTATTACCACAGCTATTCCATTGGCTAATTTATCGCAAAAACTCATCACGCCATAAACGAAAGCCACACTTCCGCTTTTATCACCGATTAAATCTACGGTTATTCCTAAACTTGTTACTAAAATTATTGAATTTGCCGCACCTAAATAATTTTAAAATTAAAATTTATTTTTTAAAATTTTATTTTTACTTACCAAATAAAATAGCAACAACGTAGATATCATAATTAATAAAATCTTCTCCGTATCGAAATCTAACCATAGCACATCCGACGATTCCGATAATTCCACCGGAAATATAAGAGATCTACACCAAAAAAAAAAATTACATGTTTTGAAATAACATAGATAAATTCATACTCTTCGTCCTATTGTGCGATTCATAAACTCGATGATAAAAGTTGTTAGAAAGCTTCCGATAAACATTATTAACGGTATCAAAGCTAAAGCACTCGCTGCCATGTTTAAAGATTCGTGGAGATACAGCGGGATAAAAATTTGGCTTAAATTCACGAATAATCGGGTTGACATATATACCACGGCAACCTAAAAAAATAAAAGAAAATATCTCTTATAACTTGAATTAATAATTGGTGGCAAATTCTCAATAATTTTTAACCAATTTTAAAAGTTAAACACGAAAGATTGTGAATAAAAACATTTTTATCTTAAGAACTAAACGTGATATTTCAAAACGGATGGTTTCATTGAAAAGTAGATACTTTAATTAATAAATGGTGGCAAATTCGCAATAATTTTCCAAGGCGTTAATATTTAACGAGTATTAGAAGTTAGGGACGTTAAGTAAAGTTTTAATTTTAATAAAAAAATTGTATCTCAAGAACTAAAAGCGATATTTCAAAACGGATGCTTTCACTGAAAAGTAGATGCTTTAAATAATAAATTGTGGCAAATTCACAATAATTTTCCAAGGCGTTAATATTTAACGAGTATTAGAAATTATGGATGTTAAGTTTTGATTTTGATAAAAACGTTGTATCTCAAGAACTAAGAGTGATATTTCAAAACGGATACGTTAATTGAAAAGTAGACACTTTAGTTAATAAATAGTGATAGTTTCACAAGAATTTTCCAAGAACTCAATTTTTAACGAATTTTAAAAGTTAAACACAAAATATTGAGAATTAAAAAATGTTTATCTCAAGAACTAAATGTGACATTTCAAAACGGATACTTTCATTGAAAAGTAGATACTTTAATTAATAAATGGTGGCAAATTCGCAATAATTTTCGGAGGCATTGATATTTAACGAGTATTAGAAGTTAGGGACGTTAAGTAAAGTTTTAATTTTAATAAAAAAAATTGTATCTCAAGAACTAAAAGCGATATGTCAAAACGGATGCTTTCACTGAAAAGTAGATGCTTTAATTAATAAATGGTGGTAAATTCGCAATAATTTTCCAAGGCGTTAATATTTAACGAGTATTAGAAGTTATGGACGTTAAGTTTTGATTTTGATAAAACCCTTGTATCTCAAGAACTAAGAGTGATATTTCAAAACGGATACGTTCATTGAAAAGTAGATACTTTAGTTAATAAATAGTGATAGTTTCACAAGAATTTTCCAAGAACTCAATTTTTAACGAATTTTAAAAGTTAAACACAAAATATTGAGAATTAAAAAATGTTTATCTCAAGAACTAAATGTGATATTTCAAAACGGATTATTTCATGGAAAAGTAGATACTTTAATTAATAAATGGTGGCAAATTTGTAATAATTTTCGAAGGCGTTAATATTTAACCAGTATTAGAAGTTAGGGACGTTAAGTAGTTTTAATTTTAATAAAAAAAATTGTATCTCAAGAACTAAAAGCGATATTTCAAAACGGATTATTTCATTGAAAAGTAGATGCTTTAATTAATAAATGGTGGCAAATTCACAATAATTTTCCAAGGCGTTAATATTTAACGAGTATTAGAAGTTATGGACGTTAAGTTTTGATTTTGATAAAAACCTTGTATCTCAAGAACTAAGAGTGATATTTCAAAACGGATACGTTCATTGAAAAGTAGATACTTTAGTTAATAAATAGTGATAGTTTCACAGTAATTTTCCAAGAAATCAATTTTTAACGAATTTTAAAAGTTAAACACAAAATATTGAGAATTAAAAAATTTTATCTCAAGAACTAAAAGTGATATTTCAAAACGGATGGTTTCATTGAAAAGTAGATACTTTAATTAATAAATGGTGGCAAATTCGCAATAATTTTCCAAGGCATTGATATTGAACGAGTATTAGAAGTTAGGGACGTTAAGTAGTTTTAATTTTAATAAAAAAAATTGTATCTCAAGAACTAAAACCGATATTTCAAAACGGATACTTTCACTGAAAAGTAGATGCTTTAATTAATAAATGGTGGTAAATTCGCAATAATTTTCCAAAGCATTAATATTTAACGAGAATTAGAAATTATGGACGTTAAGTTTTGATTTTGATAAAAACCTTGTATCTCAAGAACTAACAGTGATATTTCAAAACGGATACGTTCATTGAAAAGTAGACACTTTAGTTAATAAATAGTGATAGTTTCACAAGAATTTTCCAAGAACTCAATTTTTAACGAATTTTAAAAGTTAAACACAAAATATTGAGAATTAAAAAATTTTATCTCAAGAACTAAATATGATATTTCAAAACGGATGGTTTCATTGAAAAGTAGATACTTTAATTAATAAATGGTGGTAAATTCGCAATAATTTTCCAAGGCATTGATATTTAACGAGTATTAGAAGTTATGGACGTTAAGTAAAGTTTTGATTTTAATAAAAACTTTGTATCTCAAGAACTAAAAGCGATATTTCAAAACGGATGCTTTCATTGAAAAGTAGATGCTTTAATTAATAAATGGTGGTAAATTCGCAATAATTTTCCAAGGCGTTAATATTTAACGAGTATTAGAAGTTATGGACGTTAAGTTTTGATTTTGATAAAACCCTTGTATCTCAAGAACTAAGAGTGATATTTCAAAACGGATACGTTCATTGAAAAGTAGATACTTTAGTTAATAAATAGTGATAGTTTCACAAGAATTTTCCAAGAACTCAATTTTTAACGAATTTTAAAAGTTAAACACAAAATATTGAGAATTAAAAAATTTTATCTCAAGAACTAAAAGTGATATTTCAAAACGGATACTTTCATTGAAAAGTAGATACTTTAATTCATAAATGGTGGTAATTTCACAACAATTTTCCAAGAAATCAATTTTTGACGAATTTTAAAATTTAAGTTCCGAAAATTGTGAATTAAAAAATGTTTATCTCAAGAACCAAATGTGATATTTCAAAACGGATGGTTTCATTGAAAAGTAGGTACTTTAATTAATAAATGATGACAAATTCGCAATAATTTTCCAATGCATCAATATTTAACGAGTATTAGAAGTTATGGACGTTAAGTAAAGTTTTGATTTTAATAAAAACTTTGTATCTCAAGAACTAAAAGCGATATTTTAAAACGGATGTTTTTACTGAAAAGTAGACCCTTTAATTAATAAATGGTGGTAAATTCACAATAACTTTCCAAGCCATTAATTTTTAACGAATTTTTAAAGTTATGCACAAAAATTATGAATTAACATATATTTCGATTGTGTTAAAAAAATTGTATCTCAAGAACTAAACGTGATATTTCAAAACGGATACTTTCATTAAAAAGTAGATACTTTAATTAATAAATGGTGATGGTTACATCAATCAATTTTTGGCGAATTTTAAAAGTTAAACACAAAAAAGAGAAAATTAAGAAAATCAATTTTACCATAACATATATAGATCTCAATTTATTTATACCTGATATAATTTCATGGAACACAAAAGATCAGAAATACTTGATCTTGGAACCCCACCTCGGACGTTATTACCCGTATACCCATTTTCTTCTTTAACAAAAATGTGGAAAAGTATGGAACAAGTAATTCCAACTCCCATCCCATAAATAACAACATTTTGAAATTTTGGGGCATCATCAGGACCTATTTGAGAGTTACTTCCCGTTCCAATATGCAAATAATACCATGTAATTAAATATACTAAGACATTTGAAAAGACGGTAAACCCATATCTAAAAAAGAATGATTAAAAAAATGATTTTCTTTTTTAATTTGGTATTTACCGCACGGCGGTGAGTTTAGTACGGTCATGTTCATTGGGAGTTAATTCGGGTATCAAAGATAAATGAGAAATTTGTACGGCAGCCCATCCAAATTGAAAAATAATAACAAAGAGGCTATAATAAAATAGTTGAGCTTCTGTAGAACTGTGTTCACAATTTAAACATGGAAGGAATATGAATGGAAATGTTGCAATAACGCAAATAGTACCTATAAAAAAATAATTAATATAAATTAATTAATACAATAAATGTGTTAAAAACATACCAAAAAAATGCCAAGCTTTCCTTCTTCCACAACAACAAAACCAAAAATTATCCGGTTGATCTGAATGATATCCAACAAAAGGGGTGGCAATAGCATCAGCAACTTGTCCGACTAAAAGTATTAGACCAGCTTGTGCGCTGGTGAATTTCAGTACCAAATTAAAAAATACCAAAAGATAGGTAAACCACATAGACGCACAAACATCGTTTAAAACATGTCCTATACCATAAGCTACTTGTAATTTAAAAGGTAACCTACGATAAATTTCAGTATATTCGTTGCTTATAATCAAAGGCGTGTGTTCGTCCATGGTCGTTGAACTATTATAAGGTTTCTAGCCGTTTTAAAGCGGCATCGGTTACAGTAATATTATAGCTCACTTTTTGAACAATGATACCCCTCTAGTGAGTCATAGTGTTGTCATCACATGATTCGCTTCGAATAAACCTAAAATATATTACAAAAAAATTCGATAAGAAAACTTCACGCCGATTGACTGCAAGGCTGTATTGAGTCATCATTTTAACGTTTTTAACACAAAGAAAAAAATATATACAATAAATTATTTTGACGTTTCAATTTATTTTTCGCGGTTTTTTATCCATCCATTTAATAGAATTGTCATTTGGTAGACTCACATTTCGTGTTCAAATCGATCCAAAGATGAAATCTATTTAAAAGATTAAATTAAAAGTGCCATCTCTTTAAGAATAGAGCAAATCATAAAGTATATCGACCTCTTTTCTAAATTTAACAGAATATCTATTTAGTAGAATGAAACCTAACCTTAAATTTAAAAAAATCGATAAGGTTCATTTGAATATCGTTGTAATGAAAGTGACGATTTCCGATTAAGGACTTAATAAAAAATGTTAAATGCAGCTCGATTTAAATTAATGTTAAGGTAGCAGAGAGATTAATAAAAAAATGGTAACATTCCGGTGGAGAACCTATAAATTTTCGCAACTTCTAAAGTAAGTAGCTTTAAAAGGACGATTTTAATGTATTATTTCTTGTTGTTTTTAGTTATATAATACATCTAGCTCAAAAATGTGTTTATACAACAAAATCATTGACATATAATAACTGCCTAGACCAAAATTATGCAGCGGATGTTTGCATGGAACCCATGTTTTGGTTCGTTGATAACTTTACGAATACAATAGGACCGGTTTGTGGGTTTAAATACAGGGTCTGTCACGACGAGCTGACTCTATATGTATGTGGCATATATTTTTGTGAAAATTTGCATGTATCCAAAGTGCTTGTTTCAACTAAAATATTTTCAATTTTCTCCATATACAGGGTGGTTCAGTTTTTAATCGGGAAACTTTACTAGGATGTAGTACTTGCCAAAAAACACAAGTTTTTTATATACACATAGGGTCACAACTCTTTTGTTTCCGAGCTATGAGCTGTCAAAGTTGAGCCAAAAATTTACATTTTATCTTTTATTTCGGGTATGAGTAAACCACAGAATTTGAAATTTTGTATGTATGTACTACTGGTTCATATCTTATTTTCAACCATACCTTAAACTTCCCTAGCGCCCTCTAAGGGGATGAAATTCACAACGTGTTTGATTTTTTTATAACAACTTCTTAACGCCATGGAATATTAACATAAAAAAATATGGGTTGTAAAGCTTATTCATTATTGGTACGTTTTTGTCTCTTTAGTTTTTTCCTTAAAGATAATAGTTTTAGCGTAAAAAAAGAAAATATGCTACATTGGACTGTAAAGCGCTGCTATTATTAAAAAAAATTTTTTCTTTATAGGTAGCTATGGAAGTTGTGCACTTACTAGGATCTAGTACTAACTAAATAACACCAATTAATTGTGATTTTCATAAGAAAAACCATAAATAAGATTAATGCCTGTCTGAACAAATTACGTTGTTTTAAACAATATTAAAAAATTGATGCTCTTGCTTAATAACCGTCAAAAATTATTAATAACCAGAAATAATTATGAGGATTCACTGTAAATAAAACTTACATGTTCTCAGAGCTAACTTTTAGAATAATTTTAGCTAAACATGGCGGCATATAGCGGTACATGGCACGATATTTTATTTTTTTACACGGAAACTATTAACTATAAGGAAAATACTAAAGAGACAAAAAAGTACCACTAAAGAATAAGCTATACAATCCATATTTTTTTATGTTAATATTCCATAGCGTTAAAAAGTTCTTATAAAAAAATCAAGAGAGTGGTGAATTTCATCCCTTTAGAGGGCGCTAGTGAAGTTTAAAGTATGCTTGAAAATAAGGTCTTAACCAGTAGTGAATACGTACAAAGTTTCAAATTCAACGGTTTACTTACAGCCGAAATACAAAACAAAATGTAAATTTTCGGATCAACTTTGATCGCTCATAGCTCTAAAACAAAAGAGTTGCGACCCTATGTTTATATAAAATACTTGTGTTATTTTGGCAAGTACTACATCCTAGTAAAGTTTCCCGATTAAAAACTGAACCACCCTGTATTATACCGGAAATGGACCCCAACTTTGTTATTTTAAATGGAATGTACCAATTTTTATTGAATTATCGAGATATTTGCTAAATTTTAATACAATTTGATATAAGTCATCATATGTCTAGAGTGCACCATTTTTGAAATATTTCAGTTTTTTCAAAAATGCAACCCTTCAGAATAAAAATAATTTTTTTATATTACACTTGAGTCTACTACTAAATTATTACTTATTTTTTTTATATTTAACACGCTATACTGTTTTTTTCTCTTTATATACTTTATGGTGAGGTGGAAGAACAATATACAGGGTGTATCTGAATGACTGCAACAAACTTCAAGAGGTGATTCTTTAGTGAATTTTAAGGGTACTTTGATATATGAACCATGGGCGACTTCGGCTCCCCTAAGGAGCTGCACCCCTCCAAAAATAGCGGAAAATTTTGGTTTAATTTCTTTTGCTCAAAAACCATAAACGCTAGGAAAATGAAATTTGGGAAATATGTTTAACTCATAATAAGGCACGTTTTGACCCTACTTGTACTTTCAATCTACCCTTCCAAACTATTAAACGTAACCACCCCCGTTCAATTTATGCCTAGATTTTTTTTATGACGATGATAAATACATTGAAAAAATTTCAGTTAGATAGATAAAACTATTCTAAAACTTTTTTGTCTCTCTGATGTTCTTCTAAAAATTAATAATTTCTGAGAAAAAAAATAATTAAGCAAACACTAATTGTTAAGCTGTAGGGTTGTTAATCGAAAGTTGGAATGAATTTTTAATGAAAAAATCTTAGTAGGCTTTGTAATCTTTGTCAGAAATATTTTTGACGTTTAAATATCAGTTGGTTTTCTTACTTTATTATTGTTTTATTTAAAATTTTGAAACGTCGAGTGAACGAGCGTAAATGCGATAGAACTTTATTCAAAAATTAATTTGAAAAACAATAATAATACATAGTAAGAAAAACTGACATTTAAACTTCAAAAATATTTCTGACAAAGATCGCAAAGCCTACTAAGATTTTTTCATTCAAAATTCATTCCAACTTTTGATCGACAACCCGTTGTTTAACGGGCAGTGTTTGCTTTACTATTTTTTTTCTCAAAAATTAGTCGTTTTTGGAAAAATTTCAGAGAGATAAAAAAGTTTTAGAATACTTTCATCTATCTATGTAAAATTTTTCTAATGTATTTATCATCTGCATAAAAACAATTTTCGCAAAAATGCAAAGGGGATGGTTACGTTTAGTAGTTTAGAAGGGTAGGTTGAAAGTACAAATAGGGTCAAAACGTGCCCTATTATAAGTTAAACATATTCCCCAAATTTCATTTTCCTAGCGTTTATGGTTTTTGAGAAAAAAAAAATTAAACCAAAATTTTCCGCCATTTTTGAAGGGGTGTAGCTCCTTAGGGGAGTCGAAGTCGCCCATGGTTCATATATCAAAGTACCCTTAAAATTCACTAAAGAATCACCCCTTGAAGTTTGTTGCAGTCATTCAGATACACCCTGTATATTGAACCTCACCATAAGATTGATCAGTTGTTTATTGGAAACCATTTTTAGTTGTTTATTCTGAAGTGTAGTACATTGTGATCAATAAATATTATTATTAAATATTCTCGGGGTTTGCACAGAAAGAAACCTGCGAAAAGATTTAAAAAAAATTATACAGGTGGTCAGAAATTTGCGCCGAATTTCCAAAAACTTAATTTTTTTTAAAGGCAATTTTTTCCTTCACCAGCGTATTATACGTTTAAAAATAAAGGAACTTTCTCATTACATCCCTATATCTAAAATGTATGGTTTTCATAGAAACTTAAAAACAAATTTTTTTGATTATTATTAAATTTAAAATGTGGTTTTGCCCCATACATATAGACTCAGCTCGTCGTGACAGACCCTGTACATTTTAAAACGTTTTATTAAGCTTTATTTTTCTTAAAGATATTTGTAGTCGTCGTCGCTGGTTTAACAGCATCCGTGGTTGTTATCGCATATTATATAGGTCTTCCTTATTGGTGGAACCGAAATCCTTATATGTGCGTTTTCTTAGTCATTTTTGGAAATTGGTTGTTACTTAACGTTTGTTTTCATTATTATATGGCTGTTATTACTCCGCCTGGATATCCACCCCAAGTAATTATAACAATATTTATTACATAACGATTATTATTCATGTTTTAGGGAGAATTAATCACCGAGGCTGTAAGCATTTGCAAAAAATGTATATCACCGAAACCACCAAGAACTCATCATTGCTCCGTTTGTAATAAGTGCATTTTAAAAATGGACCATCATTGCCGTATCCTTAAACACAATAAATTCGTTTTTATTTTAATAAAAGCCTTAAGTAAAAGTTAGCTTGGTTAAATAATTGTATAGGATTCCAAAATCATCGTTATTTTTTTATGTACATGATTTATACGGTAGCTGGGGTGTTATTTTTAATTTTAGCCGGATTTGAGTTGGCTTATGAAGAGCTCTATTTCGCAATCGACGACGCGGATGAACCGGAATTGGAGGGACATCCGGTTAAATTTAATAAAACGGGTGCAATCATTCCAGTAAAAAATTAACAACTTAATTATATCGATATTATAATTATTTTTGTATTAAAGGTAGATGTCGCCTATTTAGACCCCGTTCAAGACTTCGATTTACAAAACGACGAACTCCCCACGACAAGTTCTTGGAGACGTGGAGCATTAATATACATGGCACTATTAAATTGCGGTACTAAATACATTCAATAATTTTAAATGTAATTAAAAAATAAATTTGTAGCTGTTTTATTGGCGTTAGGTGGGTTAATGTCGTGGCATAGCCGATTGATCGGGAAAGGTGAAACAAGCATAGAAGCGAATATTAACCGAACAGAAACCCAGCGATTAGCCAAGCTTGGGAAAACTTACGTAAATCCCTACAACTTTGGAAGTAGGCAAAATTGGCGGATGTTCCTTGGATTGGTTCAAGGACGTTCGTGGTTAAGACACATCTTATTACCCTCGGCTCATCAACCGGAAGGAGACGGGCTAATTTGGCACACCGTTCACGATAGGCTCTCACACATCCATTAATAAAAAAATAAAAAAAAATTGTCTAATTAGAATTTAAGTAAATAATAAAAGCATTCCATTTTAAAATGTTATCTTTTTCGTTTATTTACGCCGCCCGTTACAAGAAAAACATTTCACATCAAAATACAAAAAACTTTTTTTATTAAAATATAAATAGAAAAAGAATATTGCGTCTTATACAGGTGATCCAAAAGCGGGTTTGTTAAAATAAAGTTATATACAATCCAGAAAATGAATTAAAGTGTTCACTTTTTCCATCAATCATTTTTTACAAAAATAAAAAAAAAATCTTTCGAATCACCTCGTTATCAAAATACTGCAAGAGAAAAATATTTCCGTCATTTTCATATCTTCACGTTTCAAAATAAAAAAGAAAAAATCCTTATGTATATAGAAAATAAATAGCTTTCTTATATCGTTAATATCCTAAAAGTTTGTTTTCCCTACGAATCGGACTGTTCGGAGAAATTGTAAAGATATGTCGAACCGGAAACGAGGCTATTGTTGTGTGTGGTCGTCGAATTGCCGTCGGACGGCAACGGAACCGGTAGCGGCTTTGCAGGTTTTCGCGGCCGGTAACTCCCTCTCGAACCCTGATGCGCGGGACCGGAAGGCTTTAAACGCGGTCTTCCGGGCCCTCGACGCACCGCCGGCGTCGTCCCACTATTTCCAGCAGACGTGCTCGGCACCGACGATGACGACGAGTGACGCGTTTCCGGCGTTGATGACGTCGGAACAGCAGCTTCAAACATATACGAAGAATTGTATTTCGTTTGTTCTTGAGATGAATCTAAATTACATAAAGTTTTCAAATCATATTAATTCACATTAAAAAATCATGAACCTTTACCTAATGAAGAGGTAGAAGGTGTTGATTGTGAGGTAGAATTAAATCGTCCCAAAGCTGAAACGCGTCTTGATCCGCGAGGTCGGCCTCGTTTTGATGCCCCTCGACCTGGATTCCGAGGTTTTGTGGGTCCAGGATGTGAATATACTTGTGGTTCTGATAAATAAATTAATATATTAATAATAATATAATAAATTTTATCAAAGGAAAAGCAAAATTTGAAGATTTCAAGATTATGATGGTGTTGTATTCAACGGTAGAGGTCGTTAACCTGTTTTTGGTGGATTATCTCGGCAGCAAGCGACCTTGGCTTTATCGGAAAATGTCGTAGATTCTTATCAGTTAAGCCGCTGCAGTATTTATTAACCAGTTTTGGGTGAATATGGTTTTAATTAGAGATAATTTGAAGCATATAGAGTAGAATTAAATTGAAAAATTTTTTACTTGAGGTTTGTGTGGTCCATTCGCAGTCGACGTCCATAAGATCATTTTCAACGATTTCATCGGCGGCTATTTCCATGCTTAAATCCATTAATGGGCTATTTGGAGTGCTATCCATTAAGGATCCTTCGCAATACCCGCTTTCTTGACTTTCTTTTTTTAGTTTTTCGGCGGTGGTGGTGATATTTGCTTTAGTTGAAGCCATGTATTTTCGTTTTCTGTCCATTTCTCGCATATCTTCTAAATGTCTTCTTTCTTCCGCTCTTTGTCGATCTAAAAAAAATATTAATATTAAAACAAAAAATTTTTTTTGGGATTATTTACATTTTTGTTCGATTTCTTCATCGTCTAATAACAAAGAAACAACTTCTTTCGGTTTTAAAGTATCCGGTTTGAAATTGCCGCCGCTAATAACCAATTTTTGAATTTCGCTTTTTTCTCTCGCTCGTTCTAAAATTCTTTCCTCAATCGATCCTTTACAAATTAATCGATAAACGGTGACTTGTTTAGTTTGGCCTAATCGGTGAGCTCTGTCCATGGCTTGCTGATCGACTGTGGGGTTCCAATCGCTATCGTAAAAAATCACAGTGTCCGCGGCGGTTAGATTGATTCCTAGACCTCCAGCTCGGGTTGAAAGTAAAAATACAAAAATATCAGTCCTAGCTTGAAAATCAGCGACCATATCACGTCTTTCAGAAATTTTTGATGACCCATCTAACCTCATATATTTATGGTGTCGGTGCCACATATATTCTTCTAATAAATCGATCATTTTAGTCATTTGGGAGTAGATTAAAACGCGATGCCCTTCTTCTTTTAATCGTTTTAAGAGCCCATCAAGCACGGATAATTTTCCAGAATCGGTGACTAAAGTTTCTTTATCCGGAATTGTAATGTGCGACCACCCATGCATTGGCGATAAATTATCTAAAGCAGTACGAGGGATTGGGTGAAACTGGGACACCGAGGATTTTCGAGACAAATTTTGATTTGTAGCGTTACAAAAATGATAATTTAACGAGTTTAAGGACCAATCGTCAACGTGTCGCGCCCAATGATGGGCGACGCGACGCGATGGGCAAAATAATTGGGGCGCGTTTACAGTCACTTTAGGAATTACACTAAAAAGGAACGATGGGATCTCCGTTAACGTACAATCGAAAATTTGCGGCTTGCGTTCTTCGTAGATTAAATCATTTAATTCCGCCTTTTTCTATTTTTGAAACAAAAAAAATAATTAAATAATTAAGAATTAAAATAAAGCGAGTTTTACTTACATTATCATCGATGTTTTTGTATCGAATATTTCGGTGCTCAATCGTTTCCGGCATAGAAAGTAATAAATGTTTAACGAACGTGTAAAAAACTTGTTTCCCCGTGCAATTTCTTGTAAAAACTAGATCTCGTAGTGTTGGACTCATATCAATCGAAGCCGGGCTCATTTTAAACTCACTCGAAACGTTTATATCTAAATATTTAGGTCTCGTTCCCGAGTAAAAATACCTATAAGCGTTGTTATATTGTCGCCGGGTTATTTCAAAAAAACTTTGCCACCTTAAAAAAATAAAATAAACCATAAATTTGTTTAAAAACTTCTTTTTAGTTTACCTTTTTAAGATATCACTATTAAAAATGCTAGAAGCTTCACCAATACTTATTTTAATGGAATGTAAAAATATAAAAATCGATTGTTTATCGCTTTTTAAACAATCATTAATATTGACGGGGTTAAAACAAAACAATTTAATTTTTTGAAACGTTTCCTGTCGAACGTTGAAATCAAAAATTTCATACGGAACGTTATACGTTAATGAGTTAAGAAAAATCGGGGATTTCGCATCCCGCCTTTCAAATAATTCGGGATGATTACAAACTTTCCGAAATTGCATCACCAAATTCATCAAGTTTGACGTGAAATTTTTATCAACGTTGTGACTATCACCACCTCCACCGCCAACCGTATAATGCAGCAAATCTTCAATACGAATTTTTTGTTTTAAAGCCATGTAAAGTAATTTTTGTCGCGTTGTCAACGGACAATAAAGCATTACTTCAATTTTATCCGAAAGTTCATTTTCGACATCTTTTTTTATTCGACGCAACATAAACGGCTTTAAAATCATGTGCAATCTAGATAAATGTTCTAAAACAATTTAAGTTATTTAAATCAAAATAAATTTTTTTTCTTACTTTCATCAATTCCCGTTTTATTTTCAGCGTGGCTTTCAATATCTTTTGAAAACCACTCGTTAAATTCTTCGTGTGAGTCGAAAAGGGTGGGCATTATGAAGTGGAGTAAAGCCCAAAGTTCCGCCATGCTGTTTTGGATTGGGGTTCCACTTAATAACAGTCTATTTCGACAATTAAAACCTAAAAGTGTTTTCCAACGCATGCTAAAAAAAGTTTAAATAACGATCTGAATCTGGAATGTTAAAAATGTAAAGGATCTCACCTATTAGTGCTTTTAATAGCTTGCGCTTCATCTAAAACCATGTACTGCCATTTAATCCTATTAAAGTATTTAACATCCGAGATAACGATTTGATAACTCGTTATTACAATGTGAAAACCACCGTCTTTAGTGTGCATCCCGTCGTGGTTCCAAAATTGCCTCAAAATCTTACGATCCGCCGGGTTTCCCCAATATGGAACCACTTTGAATGCAGGTACAAACTTTGCAAATTCTTGTTGCCAATTATGTAGTGTTGATGCTGGGCATATTACCAAAAATGGACCCCATAAATCTAATGTAAATAAAAAAGTATATTCAAAGCGTAAAAAATATAGTTGTGGTGCTTAAAAATAGATTAGAAGATTTTTAACTTATATTTTGAATGATTATTATGAAACACATCTAAAGGAGGATCGCAAGAATTCGACGTGCGGGACATATATTAAGAAATAAACCCAAAATTAAGAAATAAGCCTAGAATAGACCTAGAAACATCCTCATTGAGCCGGTCAAACATAGAGCAGCTCAATATTACACGAATTTTTGGCAACACTCCTCAACAGGTACAAAAACGTCCTGATTCAAAGGATCAGACAAACTATGCCTTACCAGAAGAGGGATGGAGGAATAGAAAAGAATAGCGATTACAATGCGAGATGCGATTATACAGGGTGTCACATAAAAAACGCCCCAAGCTGTAACTGTTATTTACATTCCGATTTCCATGAGCCAGGTATCAAATGAAATGGTTTGATTGCTCGGTATATTATTTTTTGCGCTATTAGAGAGAGATTTTTTTCTGAATCCATTGATGTATAATATATCCATTTTAAATTTTAGCAGAAAAAAACACCTGTATACAGAGTATCTCTTGTAATTGTTTTTTTAGATTCCACTATTCGTACAGTTTTGAAATTTTAGTAGCATGGGTTGTTCATTCGGAACTTTCGATCTACTACTTCAAGATGGCTGCCATATCCGGTCTACCGGAAGTAGCCCATAACATTAAATATAATCATTAAATATGAAGATAACCTCAAAAATATCATTTTTATAGTAGTGTATAGCGCAATCTGGAAAAAATTTAAATTGAAAATTTGATTTTAAATTAGTTTTTAAGCAAATATTATTCGAAACACTTTTCGTGTTTTTCTGTGTAGTACTATTCACAGGGAAATTAAAATAATTTGTTATTAATAATCAAGCAAAAATTTTAAAAAATGTTTCAAACGAACTTTGTTCCTAATTTGATTCTAAACAACTTTTATTTAAACATTTTTGCGATACAACCATTAATTATGAAGATAACCTCAAAAAATAACATTTTTATAGCA